CGGGAAGCTGCATATGCCAATGAAACATAACTAATGAAGGAAAACGAGCCATCTGCAGGCTGGCAGTCTTCACCGGAAGCTTCACCCATCACAAATATTACAACTCTGATTTCAAAACTAATGTAAGCAGCGAGGAAGGCAGGCATATGAGGACAACAAGCTGTATTGCTATCTGCAGAAAAGAGTGGGTGGAGTGAGGAGTCTTCTGAGTGGAGAGAGCGCGGGGGAGAGTCTATTGGGTCAATAGTCCGTGCACCTCAGTAGTACGTTCCATGTATACTACGTCTGACGTCAGTCACGTGGCTACAACTAAGGTATTAAATCTTAAGCCCTGCCTTATAATTAAGGCCTAAAAAAACAAACCTCGAATTTATAGGATAATCAAAAATGTCGGAAGTGGGATTCGAACCCACGCGGGCTACGCCCATGAGAATGCGCCTGCAATAAGTGCAGGAAGCTTACGCTTGAGTCACACGCCATAACCACTCGGCCATCCCGACGTCTATCAGACGATTTTGAAAATCGATAGGATGACTAATACATTAATCCTTTCATATATACACAACTATTTTGGACATTTATCCGGAAGACAGTGAAGCAAAATCTCATAACTGCTCGAAGCGGAGTTATGTATTGCCCACAGTATGTACTCCACTTTGCGTTGGGCCGAAGCGACTGGCGCACTCAGCGCTTAGCGCGCGCAGGTAATGAGGGATGACTCAACCACACGTTGACGCTTTTAATTGAAGATCCTGAACAGTGAAATACAAAGACAATAGTGCCATACCATGCGAGTACGTCATCGAGTGTGGCGGAGATTCAGACTGGGATATAATTTGCTTATTGCGGTGCGGAGACACTTGCACATGTGATACCTTTAATCATTTTTGTCCACTCGTTCGTACTGGTGTAAAGTGGCGCAATCTTAATAACAGGTAATACTATAGAGTGGAACTCCGGAGTTTATTGAAGTACTAGAACATGTTCTTATAAGGGCGATTTTAGGACGGATACCCGTCGATGATTGGGATCACGGTCTCTATAGTGGGTTTAGTGTCTTGCATAGCTATAGCTTTATAAAGTTACAGTTAAGGTGTTATATAAGGTGCAGGATGCAGGGCAGTAGCTATAGATTTTTTAAACTATATATAGTATTTATCCTATAGTTCTAGGATAGGCAGTATTTATAGTTCCTACTACTTAATATTACCTTTACCCTCATTATACTCTTAATTTATAGTTACGTATTGTTTTAGTGCTCCTTTTTATTACTATAATAATTATAGTTTTAGTTACTATGTGTTGTATAATTTATTCAGGTCGTTAAAGACGATAAAAAGAAAGGCTTAAGCCAGATACCACGTAGTGCTTCACTACTTTAAGTGCGTATACTTTTTAAGCATATAACAAAAACAAGAGCTCGCATTTTCAGATATCTATACCGTTCTGTGCACATATCCACCGCCTGAACCTCACAGAAGTCGAAACCACCCTCTCCTCCCACAGACCGAAACGTTGGATGCTCATCGCTAGAGTGTGAGTCTTTCAGCATGTGTCCCTATTTAGGAAGCTCCAAGGCCTGAAGTGTCTTCCAGCCACGAAGTATCAATGCAGTCGATGTTTAGATTGAGCAACGCACCGAAGGATGGTAAAGAATCAATGACGGTGGAGGCATTTGCAATAAGAATTCCTCCGCAGTGTGGAATGCACAACGAGAGCTCGTTACCATCATCGTTGACTCGTCCACTGTATCCAGACTCTTGGCAATTGGTCCCAGCTGAGAACTCAGCGGTGAAATCCATGCCGTCTGTGCTAGAGGCTTCCATGGCCAGCAGTGTTTGCAGCGGAATGACGAGTTTGGAAGCAATCGCGTCGTTACTATTGCGAGTCATCTGTTCCATGTACTCAAGCGTCTTTTCTACGAGTCCACGATCGCTGACGCGTTGGTGGGTAAGGTAAGAGAATGCTTTGTTGCCCTGGCCGTCGAGAGGCATGCCTTGACCGCGCCGACCGATCATGTGCGCAAGGCTCAGAGTTGCGCTGGCCAAAAAGGCGATGAAGTCTACGCCTCGACAGTAGAAAGCACTCCGTTCGTTGCGGAAAGCCGTGAAACGCGTAAGTACGTCTCGAGTTGCAGTAACAACTGTAATTTTGCTGTACGTATGGAAGTCGTCGTCGTCGTAGTAGTAGTAGTATTGGTTTTACGTCCTATGTAACCTCCCAGGGGGTATGCAGACGTGCCCTGCACTTAGTAAGGGCCACTTATGCTAGTGCTACCGCTGCTATAGGAGCGGCCTCTCTTGCTGCTGTCCCTCTCTAGATAGGGGCGACTCAGCTATTTAATCTAGCCTTTGTGTGACAATAGTGGGAAAAGGGGTGGCCTTCTAGCTGCCCCTAGTCCTGTACAGAAGCATGCCAAGACTTATTAGAGGTAAGGAAAGATATATACACGCATATAGGTATATAAAAGAGAGAGCTAAGTCTTATATAGTAGATACCTTAGTAAGTTGTGAGCAGGTAGCGTATTTACTTTACCTAAAGTAAGGGTTTACGTCCACTTACCTATAATATAGTTAGCTAGTTACTTGCTAACGTGTACTATTATTAATACTAAGTATAAGAAGGGTTGCGTATTCTTCTAGGCTTAGTGCCCTAAGGTACTATATTCCTTCTCTAGTGTTTATTAGGAGATGTATTAGGCGTTGTGGCTAATAGTTAAAGCGTCGCACTATCCGTGGGCAGTGTATAATATAGTCTAGGGCCAGGTCTACTCTATAGGTGCACGTAAGGGTCTCCTTATTATGCTTAAACTTCCTATAGTACTAGGCGTAGTTACCGTGTCTTATCCTTATGGATAGGAGCTTGGCCAGGGCGGGGCGTGTAAGCTCCAGCTCTGGCGGTTACCTAGAGGGGGTGTATGCTAGGCCCTACTAGTTGTACCATGTAGAGAGATTTGGTGTGCGTGTATACTACTACTCTTATTATATAGCGCGTACGTATGCGCGCGCATTAGATCGTAAACCTAATATTATAGGGTTAGCTACCTTCCCTATAGGTAGACGTAGGTCCTTAGCTACCTTATCTACTAGCTAATTAGCTAGCTTATTACCTTTAATGCCTATGTAGCCTAGTAACTATTAGATTTAAATATCCTAGGTGTCTATGGCTTCTTGGCAGCGTATAAAGGCCCACTAGGATAACAGCGCGGGGTCTCCCCTAATGCCCTAGATAACTAATATGCTATCTACACATATCTAGATCTGGCTTAGGCGGTGCGCCTAAGTCTATAGCACGTGTTAAAGACCTTTTTAGGCCTCTACTACTTTTGCGTCGAAGACGTGGGCCCGCGTGTTAAGGGAGCCTTTGCTTGTGTATAGTAGACTCTGGCCCTGGTACATAGCGTATTTATAGGTTACGTGGCGCTCGCCGTTTTCTGTGCGCTGTTTTAAGCCGTCTAAGAATACTATAATTGTCTTGGTAGGCAGGCTTGTCTACTATTATTTAAATTCTTTAGTAGCGAGCTTTTTAGGCTTATTATTTATAAGGTCTATTTAGCACTAGTTAGAATAGTGTAGTTATAGTAGTATAGGGCGGGGTACTAGTGCGAATAGCTGTGCGAGTAGTTAAACTTTTATATATAGGCGCTGCGGGCGTCTAGCGCCTCTTTTTCTATATGCTATAGTTAGTCGCGTGCGCGCTATAAGTAGGTAACCTTTATTAACGTAGTATAGGCGTATAGTAAACCTCGCCTTACACTCTTTAAGCGCTATAGCTACTAAGGGAATGCCTGCGTCTTTGTATAGCGTGGTAGTAGGCGTGGTGCGGTAGGCGGGGACGATGCCTCTAATCACTATTGTAAGGGCCTTTTCCAGGGCGGCGATATGCTACCTAAGTCGTGTGCTAACCTTTTAGTTCTACGTAGCTCTTATAATTTTAGGGGGCTTTGTGCGCCCTCTATACTAGGCCTTGTTTTTATATAGTAGGCGTGGCAGTACGCATGAGATTACTACTTTGCGTAGTGAGCTAGCTGGTGGGCCGTGCTGGATCCTGGCAAGGCTACGGATGTGCTGTGCGACTGCGCGTCCTTTAGCTACGCGGGTAATAATATATATTTTAAAATTAAGCTTCTTATTAAAGTAAATACCTAGCTAGCGTAGCGCCTTATCTAGTAGTATAGGTTAGAGGATAAGCTAATTATTAATCTAGATAGGTGGCGAATAGTTACTTTTCTACTTAGTTAGGTGTATTATTTCGAGTTTCTTTAGGGTAAATACCACGTGATTAGCGTCTCCTTAAGAATTTATAGCGCCTATATCTTCTGCCAGTATTTCCACGTTCTGGTCTAGGGAGTAGGATTACTTATAGAGGCAGATATTATCTGCGTACTTAAAGCGCCTAGTAGGGTCTTGCTGAAGTAGCTCTGCTAGATAAAGTGTGTATAGCACTAGTAATAGTGGTAAGCCCTGCGGCGTCCTATACTATACTAGGTAGGGCGCTGTGGTGGCTTCTCCTAATTACACTTAGACGCGACGGTCCTAGAAGAAGTTTTTTATAATTAGGAGGGCGCTGTTATGCTATCCTTAGGCCTTTATTTTATATAGAAGTTAATTTTTAAGAAGTGCGTCGAAGGCGCCTTAGATGTCTATAGTAACTATAGTAACGTGCTAGCCGTTAGAGAAGGCGTCCTCTACGTTATATGTAAAAGTGGCTACTAGGTCTATGGCTAATCTCTTGGGGAGAGCCCCCCTATATTAGGGGCTTAGTATGCCGTGTGCTATAGCAGTGCTAGCAAATCTCCTTACTAAGATTCTCTCTAGGCCCTTGCCAAGGCAGGATAGCAGGGCGATAGGTCTTTATAATTTAAGGGAGGATTTGTCCTTTTTACCTATCTTAGGTATTATAACGACCTCTGCGACCCTCTACGCGTGGGGGAAGTAGCTAAGGGCCAGATAGCGCTAGTATAGGCTGGTAAGATACGTCTGAATATAGTGCTAGCATGCGGTAAGCATGTAGATAATAATTCTATTTATGCTAGGTAAGGTGCTTAAAACTCTTATTATGTTACGCTTAACCTCTTTAGAGGAAAGGTATAGGTCTTAAGGGAGGGCGTAATAGCCCTGCGATCCTTAGACGTTAGGTTCTAGAGCCTTTAGTAGGTTATTACTATTATTAAAATAGTAGAGTATTACTTATCTAAGCGTCTTCGCTTTCTTCTATAGGTTAGTAATATAGCGCCCCTCGTAGGCTAGCGGCGGGTTTAGTCTTATTAGCTCTAGCTTGTGCTAGCCTATAATTTAAAAAAGGTTAGAGTCCTCCTTTACGCTATTAATAGTATGTTGCTAGTATTATCTCTTAGCCTTTCTTACTATAGTTAGAAAGCTACGAGTCTCTAGGGTCTGGGTGCCTATGTAGCCCCGTCTAGACTTAAGGTGCAGGCGCCTGGCGTTAGCGCACTTGTCTATCTACTAAGGTGCCACCTTCCTACCATCCCTCTTTAGGT